CGCGGTTAAACTGTATTTTGGCTCATTGCGCTGAGCTGGAACGTAAAAAAAAAACAGTTTTGTGCTGTTAAAGACAACGTTATTTGGCTGTAAGCGTAAGAGATTGGCGTAGTTTCAAAGGGACAGTCACCATCGCTGTGACATCAATCTCCCAAATTTATTCTGCTAAATTTAAATACATTGGAAGGTTATGTTTTAACAATGTCTGTTGTTGCTCTACAAGTACAAGAAGCGAGAAGATAAGTTTTCTTTATCTTCACCTTCGAATGCAGAAAAAAAAATAATAAAAAAATTAATGACTGAATGAAGATTTCAAATGAGCAGAAAAAAAAGAGACAAAGAAAAAAGGTAGGCAAAGGAAAGGAAGGAAAATGAAAATTAAAAGACTGGACGACTGGAGTAAACACCGATGATTTTTTTCGGTATTTAGTGATCAGAACAAAAACAGACTTTCAAGCATTAACCTAACTGGGATATTGGTTATGGCTTGATTTTCTTATTATGTAAATAAGCAGTACTTAGAGCGTAGTGTATTTGTTTGCGATCTGCGAAGGTGCACAGTTCGGTGGTTAAACATGTGGTTTAGTTGCCCTTTACTGTCGCGTACGTCCTGCATATTTATACTGTTTGGTGATGATTGTATAGGTTTATTTTTGTCTTTGGCATTTTTTGTTTTGTTGCAGTTTTATTGCACAGAACTTATACATACGTAACAGACATTACTGCTGTGAATCGGCGATAAAGATTAATGTTGGACCGTGATCGGAAATATAATCCATTTTATCACAATAGTTTTTAAACGTATGAAAGGATTTTTTTTGTAGTAAACTTTTATCTGTACTTTGGTTAAACTTCAGAAGAAAAGGAAGCAAAACTTCCTATACGACCTGTTAGATTTAAATCGAAACGTTTACTGTGGTTCTGCATTATTTTCTTCTTTGTTTTCATCTTCGAAATTGAATACTGCGATCTATATATTGATCAGTGGCAATTCCAACAGATAATTTTAGGTAATATGTGTCGTAATTTGTGATTCTACTGTTTTACTTCATTGGAATAAAGTTTGTACTGCAGTAAAATGCTGCCGTACTGTTTGCTGCAAACGCTTTTACTATTACATTATTGTACTTAGAAACGAAATGGCCACGTGTACACAAATACAATAAATTGATACCAATATTTTTTATTTATATATACTTTCACTATGATAGGGATTTGATTTTTTGTAAGCAGTTTTTTTTTAAATTTATTATTTAAAAGGGTTTATTTTACTGCATTGACAGGAATTTCGTTTAATACAGTTTAACTATTCTGTTGTGAAGCAAAATGTGCATTTCGTTTTCACTTGCCGCTTTTTTTTTTTTCAAAATTTTTCAGGCTTTCAAAACGGGGACTCATTTCCAGCTGTATCGTCTTCTGCCGTTGAAGTTTGGTTCTAGCGGTCTGCTGTTGAAATTTCCATCTAACTGTATTTATAGTAATTTGAAAAGCAAGAGTTCTTTGGGATTTTTTTCTAGTAAGTTATGCTTGAAAATGAGGATAACAGTTAAAACCAGCTCATGTCACAAAACTATTTATTATAATCTCGTGAAAGTCCTGTTAATTTTAATAAAAAAAAAACTAAGTATCTTTTTTTTTATCAGTGTCTTTGCTAATTTTGGCCACAGTTGTTCTTTAATTAGTCTGAGACTTAATTCGCTGGTTTTTTTATTCATTTACAATTTTCTCGTTATATTGAAGCAAAAAACTGCTTCGGATCGTTAATAGGGGAGGTGCTGCTCTGTATTGGTATTATTTGTTTATGGAACTGCTTTGTTGTTGATTAGAAAAGTCTCCACGCTAGTTTGCTGCATTCAAATAAAGCTAGACTGGCATTTCATTTTAGTTTTGCTTTTGTCAATAAATGGTGCTGTCGAAATCTTGCGTCATCTTTCCCAACGGATCAGCTGTAGCTGTAATGCTAACGTACCTGTCTGACACTTAGTTGCTAAAGTGCCTAACCGTCATGTGTGTGATTTTTGAATTTTTTCTGTTCTATTAACCTTAATCTTGTCTGCCGAAACATTTCTTTGCCAACTGTTCAAATTAGGAAAGCAAGTATTGCATAAGGAAGTCCCACTTTTTTACCCTGTTGTTGTTTAGAGTAGGTAGCATTGTGACTGATTATAAACATTTATTGTAGCGATGGCGTAGTTTTAAAAATACTCATTTTGTTGGAAAAAAAAAGAAAGGCGGAAAAATTTTTTTGGTGTAACAAAGATTTTTATCCCCTTTCGGTGTTCATTATTTTGTTTCAATTTGTTATGGACTTTCTGGTCTGGCATTTTTCGCTTCTTTCTTTGCAGAAATGGATTTTAGCAGGCGAATGGATTCCTCTTTAAGTAGCTCTACAAAAGACGGGATGAACATACTTGATGAGTCAGATGCGACTGGTAGGAGTTTCGTTCTTTTCAGTTTTTTAGTTTTTAAATTTTGTTCTCAAGTAGTATGCTAATAAATTTACCTGCACTTTGACAGTAAACAAAAGGCCTTTGTTCCCGTGGAAAGTTCCCAACCCATTGATTCCTCCTCCACAGCTTACTTTATACAACAGTTTTACAAGAAAGAAGGAACCATTTGTTCCACGTGAAGGTAGAAGGGTGAGCTTCTTTTTTTGCTTTTTATTCTTCCAAAGATGGTCACACTTTTTTGCTGTGAGACAATTTTCTTTTTTAGGCGTTGTTATAGTTCTTTTTTGTTCTTTTTATAGAAAAATTAACTACGTTAAATAAGTTTCCGTGAATGCTACGTAGAAAGCACTTTTTTACATTTGGAATCAGAAAGATAGGTATTTAGCAGGATAATAGGCAGAAGATTTGTTTTTAAGAAAAGTTCCGAACCCATTGTGAGAGCAAAAAGATAAGGATTTAACATTTGGGGAATTTAGAAAATTTACAGGTCAAATGGTACATATGCGGTCCGACAGTTTATGATTCCTCACATATGGGACATGCTAGGGCCTATCTTTCTTTCGACATTTTGCGACGGATAATGCAAGATTATTTTGGTTATGACGTACAGTTTGTTATGAATATTACTGATATTGACGACAAAATTATCAAAAGGTTTTTTTTTCTTTGCATTTTTTAATGTTGTCCTTGTATTTCACTAATGACTAGATTGGGATGACTTTTATTAGGGCTCGTCAAAATCATTTGTGGGAGGCATACGTAGAGAAGAAAGAATACCAGAAGGATAAGACAAAACTTTTAAAAGACATGGTTGCGGCGGTAGAGTTCTTCAGAAAGAAAGTTGATGCAGAAGTGGATCAAGATAAGAAGAAGATGCTGATAGGAATTGTCGGTTCCTAACTTTGTTTAGTTATTTTTTCTTTTTGATTAAGAAAAGTTTTCAGAACTAGTAATGTCTATCTTGATTTGAACAGGTTACGGAATAAGGCTGACTGTTGTTCTTTTAGGTGACGAGAGTTGATGATGCTGTCAAGAAGGTCGAATCTGTTTTGTCAGAAACTAATGAAAGCGAAAGTGAAGTCTTGTCGGAAAAAGTGCTCTGCGCGCAAGAAGAGCTATTGAAGCAGTCAAAAGATGTCATGTTCGAATGGCTAGATGCGCAGCATGGATCCGCTGTTACACAACTTTCTGTTTTCGAGAAGTTAGCTAAAAAGTACGTTTTGTTGGGTGAAAAACTGTTATCATTCCTGTTTCTAAAGGCTCGTTTAATAGTGTGCAGTGCATCGTTTTTATTTAGATACGAAAATGAGTTTTTGAACGATATGAAGCAACTGAATGTGCTGCCTCCTGACGTACTGGTTCGAGTCTCTGAATACATTCCTGAAATAATAGAATACATTAAAAAAATAGTAGAGAATGGTTACGGTTATGTGGCTAAGGACGGATCGGTATATAACATTTTTAAGCTTTTAAGTTCTGATTATATTGCCTTCTGGGAAATACAGGTATAGCGCGACCGAAGAAACGTTTGGTATCTTTCGTAGAAGTATTTATTTTTGTTGGTTAAAATACTGTAGATTTTTCTTGCATCATTAAGCACATCTACAGGAGTGGGGAAGAATGTCACAATTCAAAAACCTTCACTTTTCTCTTTGAGGAGATGAATAATTGATAAATTTTGCTCGTCTGGTATTACCCATCATCTAGTTATTCATGTCAGCTTTCCAATTTTTAAGGTTTATTTCGACTCTGTTGGCTTTGAGAATAATTCAAAGCATTCCTACGCAAAATTGGTTCCAGAAGCTTTTGGCGACAATGAGGGCCTAATGAAGAATATGCAGGAAAGTGAGGGTGAACTCAGTATGGGTAATTTACAGGCAAGTTTACTGTCAAGGGACATTAATGTCATTTGATTAGTGGGATGATTCTAAGGTATAAAGTAAACGCTTGTTTAGGAGAAGCGGAACCCAACAGATTTTGCTTTGTGGAAAGCGTCGAAAAGCGGTGAGCCGTACTGGGAAAGTCCTTGGGGCAAAGGTTTTATTTTAGCCTTCGATCCTATTATGCCTCTGCACTTTTTTATGAACAGATAAAAAACTTTCTTGGTATTTTGATCGTAAAATTATTGGTCATTGATAGTGGTCAGGTTACTTTTCTGTAATTAAAAGCACTCACTTTGGAGATGGAAAAAGCATTTATTTTTTCAGTGCATTTTGATTTGGATGAAAAAACTGTTTTATGCTAAAATTTTTTAGGTCGTCCTGGTTGGCATATAGAGTGCTCTGCAATGTGTTCTTGTATATGTGGCTCATCTTTGGATATACATTCTGGAGGCTTCGATTTGAAGTTCCCACATCATGACAATGAGATAGCCCAAGTACGCCAGTTAATGGCTTTGTAAATTTCTTAGTTAATAGGCTGAAGCAAACTTCCCGCTTGTTCCTTTAAATCTAGAAAACTTTTGGGAATAAAGAGGCGAAAAAGATGTGAAGAGTTTGGTGAATTATAACATTTTTTAGCTTTTTCTCACTACTGTGTAAAATTCCTCTAGCACTTTATGGTCTTAGAATTTTGACAATTCATCCACCAAGTTTAGTTACTATTTTATAGATACAATCATTATTTTTGAGGTTGAGGCACATTTCGACTCTTCGAACTGGGTTAATTATTTTTTGCATTGTGGAACTTTACGTATTGCTGGACTAAAAATGTCAAAAAGTTTGAAAAACTTTGTCACTATTCAAGAAGCATTGAAGCAATACACAGCACGGCAGTTAAGGATACTTTTCTTAATGCACAACTGGGCTGACGTTCTTGATTACAAGTTAGTTAATTAATGGTATTTTTTACTTTTCGAAACTGTAAATTTGCCACGGAAATCATTCATTAACAAGTCTACTGTGATTTCCAAAGAAAAAAGTTTTTATTAAATAGGATTTTGAGTTACTCTGTTGTACCAACCCATCATAAAACCTTCGGAACTTCAAAAGTAAATGTTTTATTTACAAGAAATAGACTAGTCTTTTCATTTTTTGGTTATTTAATGCAGTAAAACACTACGGTCTTGTCATATGTCAGTTATTTTCCTTTTAAAACAATCATTTTTGTGTTGGTAGTCGGTTACCTTCGATGAAGAATATTCTAATGGCTCCGTCTGGTACCTAAACGAGTGAGTTTTCTGCGAAGATATTGCTAAGATTAATTTGTCTTACTGGTTTCTGACGAAAGAAAAAGGAGGAAAATCAGATTCACAGTTGTAATTTTTGACGCAGGAAATTTACTGGAAATTCATATTTACGCTCAGTAACTTTTGTTTTTTCATTATCTCCTAGGTGATGTATAACATTTTTCAGTTTTTAACGTATCTACCATTTTTTATTTGGTGGTTTTTCAGTCGCGGCATTGTTTCTGAGAGAAATTCCACTTTTTTCAACGTTGCGATGTCTCAAAAACGAATTGAGAAGTTTTTTTATTTCACAGGAAGTCTATGTGACGCTCAGGTAGCGTCGAACATTGTACTTTCAGATTATTTGCTAGTTAGACAACAGATAAAAATGAAAACTTAAGAGTATTGCCTTACTTAACGTTTGCTGCTTCTTTATAATCGTGTTTTGTCAGTTACATAGGACACTAAAGCTTCATGAGCTCTCATTTTTGGCACATTAATTTTAGTAGTGGTCCAGAACCACAAGGTATATTTTTCAGAAGATTAAAGAAAATATGGAGTAGGTGTTTCAAATATTCAAAATGGTATTTTTTGGAAGCGAAATAGTTGCAAAGCTGCATAAGATTATGATTTTTGGCGAAATATAGGGTTAGCATATTATTTTTATGAATGGAATTCTGGTAAGAATGAAATAGTTGAGAAGAAAATAGAGGAACGGAAACTACCGCAGTTTTCTTGGTAATTGTAGAAGAAGAAGTAGAGGCTATTTACTCATATATTTCTTATTTTTTTATTTTTGGTTATTCAGCTGTATGACTTGACAGTCTTAAAAAATCGTTTTGATGCTTTGCCTATTATCACGTTATTTCATCAGCCGGTTGTATTGAGTAAATTTATGGTCGACTGTGAATTATTAGCAGTTTTTAACTTTTTTGTTGGCGCAATGACACAGTCATTAGAGGAAAATTTTTTCCTTGATCTTGATATTGGATAGTCTTTTATCTCTTTTTATTAGAAATCGTGACCTAATGGTAGTTTATGTCATATTCCTCCAGTTTCACCTATACAACTTTTTCCTCGTTCAATTGTCTTAGAAGTAACAACGAAAGCTTTCGAGAATTTTACTTGCTATAACACAATGGGTTGAACGTTTTTTAGGCTTTTCTTAGGTTTTTTGCCAGCATTTCTTTATTTTCAGTTAGCTTAAATTCCACTTGCTTTTCGTATTTAGTTTTTTCTGTTTTTGAGAAGAATGTTTTGTTCAGGTACAGTTTCAGCTTATAAGATTGGTCTAGTTTTTTTTTATGGTTTAACATCGTTTAGAAGAACTGCGCAGTGGCTGGGTGAAAGCAGATGGTGATTAAGTTTGTATTTTAAGCATTACTTTTTTAAAAAAAAACCATCCCGACATTGTTGCGTATTTGTTTTGGAGTATTGTTAACAGTTCACCTTTTACTGGTAGATAGGTGTTATTTTATGGCTTGTTTTGCGAAATTTTTAGCTGCTAGTATTGGAAATCGTAGCTGAACATTTTTTAAATTTTTCTTCCTTGATTCGTCTTCTTTTTTTTTTTTGTTTTCGTATTCTGAAACAAATCGGAACAAGTTTTTTTATTTTTAATTTTGTGGCAGTGAAAGTTACTGTGACGAAGGTGCAATTTTCTTTTTGCAAAGTGTTTAATTAATCATTGAATTTCTCAAATAAAATTTCTCAAATAAATTCCAGTCAAGGCAAATGTCGATGGTTGAACATTTTTTGGAGTCTTATTTTTTTCTTTCACTTTTAGTAGTGCTACTATTAATATTCTATAGAGATCTATTGCTTCAAAGTAAGCCTTTTAATAGGCGCGTACTGATGTTGGATACCAGATTTTTGTGCTTTATAGTCACTATTATCTTCTACTGTGCTGTCGCAGAAAGGAAGAAGAAGAGTTGAGAATTAGAGACTGACGAGTTGGAAGTTGAGTGCTCTGCACCGTATGGTTATTGGCAGTAGTTTTGTTTACAAGAAGCTAGTTATTTAGTTTAAGGCTTTTGAAAATTGGATAAGACTAAAATTGAAGTTTATAATTTTTCAGAAATACTTCAGCGAGAATAGTTCAAAAAAGAGAGGCATTATGTTGAAGAAGAAAAAAGAAAAAACTGGAGGATTCAGCAAATAAAATTTTTTAGAATGTTTATTTTTAGGGACTTTGGTTCCTCACTTTCCGATTATTTAGAAATATGTTTGAAGTTTATTAGTTTTTACTGGTTAAACACTGAGTGTGTGTGTGTTTGTTTGTTGTTACTGATACGTAACAGGGGATACTGTTGTTCATTGATCTATTTTATCAGATATCACAGAGGAAGAGGGCTTTTTT